TTTTTTTTTTTTTTTTTTTGACCAAACAGATGTCAAATTTTGTCGACTAACGCATCTTATATTTTTATTTTATTATTTCGAAAAAAATTTTTTTGTAACAATTTTTTTTGTTTTTGATATACATTGAAAAATAGTTTAAAAACGCTCTTGATAATAAGTATCTGAAAAAGTCATCTGTAAATTTTCCCAAGACACAACACCTCATGTGCTGGATGAACAGTGTAGGTTTGTAGAGGGAGTTTTTTCTTTATTAGGTTGATCAAAAGGGTTTCAGCAGCGGTTAGCAAAGAAGATCCTCTTAGAAAAGCAGAAGAAAGGGAGTATTTGTTTTGCGGCTTTTTTTATTTCAGCAGAAATGTTAGTTTATTTGCTCAGATTGCCTCGTGGATAACCAAGCAACGGTGGAATTCCTTTTCCTAACTGATGAGCCACTGACTAATCAAAAGTACCGAAAATCACTGAGTAGCTGGTCTCGAGTCGATAGCTATGAGTATTTTGAAAAGGAAGACGAAGGTAAGCAAACTTTGTGCTTGTTAAAACATTTCGTAGATATCATCTTGCACCATTTTTTTTTGTAAATATTTCTGTAGCAAAAAATTGGTTTTTGGAAACAGTACAATTGATACAAATAAGTGAGAAAAAAGTGTCAAGCAAATTATGGTCTTCTTTACGGGTCGTATTATTATTAATGCTATTAATATTATTGCTCTTGTTGGTATTATTGTTACTGTTATCTTTATTACTCTTATTATTATTATTATTATTATTATTATTATTATTATTACTGATTCCGAAAAATCTCAAAATTAATTTATTATTATTGTCTTATTATTATTATTATTATTATTATTATTATTATTATTATATTACAATTACTACTATTATTGTTATTGTCATTGATATCATTACTGCTAGTTTTATTACTAGTGTCACCTGCTTTAATTTCCACACTAGCAACAGTGTTTAGTTTAGCAGTTCAATAGTAATTTTTTTTAAAGCAGCAGATTTTTTTTGTATTTTTTAGCTTATCTGCTAATTTTTCTTGCATTTCGCTTTGCTTTTGTTTGCCGCTTTTTTGTCTAACTTTCTGTTTTTCTCTTGTGAGAACATTTACACTTTGACAGACTACATCTGGTTTTTCGTTATTGGGGTTTGTCGTCTGAGAAGCATCATCATAGTCGATCCAGTCGAGTTTCTTGAAAAAAAATGAAATAGGAAAAAGGAAAGATGAAGTAGTTCGTTTTCAAATCGAGAGTCTGTCCATCCTTTTGTTTCAAATATTTATTTGTTTTATTCAAATATTGATAAATTTGTACTCCTGTACACCAGTTTCTCATGTAACTTATGTGCCCTCAACTCCTTCCACTTTTAATCCATCCAAAAGTCGCATTCGCTTTACCGCTCCTGTTGCCGCTGCTGCTCATCCTGCTCCTGCCCCTCGTAGTGTTGTTTCTGCTGTTGCTACCCTTCCTCGTCACTACGTTAAACCACACTTTTTTCTTCTTTAGGCAGCCAGTTTAAAACTTTTTGGACGATTTATTTAATCAATAAAACGTCGAAGTCAGAAAAATTTGTGGGGTTGGCGGCAACGAAATTTTCAGACTGTCTGTTGATTAAACTTAAACATCGTTGCTCTCTCTGTATAGTGTTATTTTTTCACAACTAGTTCACAATAATTTTATAACTCTTCGGACTGTACCAGTTCAATGAACATTTGATCAGCTCACATGCTCTACTATCTTTGGTTATCCTCTCATTCACTTTCCTTTTACCATCCAGTAAGTATAATATTTTTGTTTTATAAAAAAAGTAGAATGAGAAAATCAACCATTACAAAGGGCTAAAAATGTAGATTTTGGTAACTTCCCACAGCTGCGCTTAAACAATAGGATAGATTAGTCTTTTTTTTTCATTGCTTATTTTTTTATCTTTGTAGTTATTTCGTAAGGTAATACATTTGGAAATTAGGTGATGGTAGTAATGAGATTGAAAATTTTTACTGATTAAATACGTTTTATTCGAAATGGACTCGTTGTATGAGATATACGCGAACAGTTTCCGGTACAGTTGTTAATTTGATGGGTATTACCGGCGACGTAGAAACATTTAAATAGGGGGTCTATTTTAAACCTGAACGGAATGTCATTGTAAGAGGAAAATCAGGCTTATTTTTCTGTTGTTGAAGTGATGATGCTTTAGCGTCTGGTTGGCTTAACTGATATTACACTAAGCAAAGCAGAATACGCCTCGCTATCCCTCTCCCGTACGGCTGCACAAAAATCCTTTAGTTGTTGACCTTAACACCAAGATTTATTTTTCTTTTGTGCATTCTTTTTGTTTTTGTTTTCTTCCTTTCACTGAGCCTCTACATTACGGTTTTGTTTTATCCTTCGCCCAGAGAAATATATTGGCCTAGAAATAATATTTTTTAGTCTCTCAATGGTTATTCTTGTAATACAATTTTTCTCACCACTAAGACTTTGACTGAGCTGTATGGGAAAGATTTTTTTGCTTTTAATGATGTACCAGTAAACATTTAACAGTTTATTCTGCCTAGGCAGCATTAGTATTAATTTGCTTCGAAGATTTATCAATGATTTTAGTTTGTTTTCTTTTTCAAAGTCTTTCGCTTCCCGCAACTAGAAGGCCAATGGAAGCTCAATAGTACTTAATTACTGGCATCACTGTGGCCAAATTTTTCCATCGTCGGGGACATATTTGATATTGTTTGCATCTTTAGTCTTTCGAGAATGAGAACGTGGTACTTGTCAATTTTCACTGATGTGTGCGTTGGAAAGTGCTTGAAAGTAGTTATATCTGTCTTTTTTTTGAAAAACCTAATTCTAAGATTTTGCTACTCTACCTTATAATACTAAATCAATTTTTAGTTTTATGTGGTGAGTTCTTTATGTACAAAATATTGTGTAATCTAGCTAGGCTTTTCAATTTCCCAAATTAAAACGAACCTCAGCATATAATCCATTTGAGTGGAACTGATTCTCAAATTAAAAACGGATTTTTAGTGTACTTTTTTGCAAGCGTATATATATAAGCTTAGAAGCATTGGTTTTATACGAAGACGAAAAATTCAATAGGCGGATGAAAAAATAGAAGAAAAGGAAAAAACTGTTGAATAGATTGGTTGCGTGGGATATACACGATATAACAGACGCACAGTAAGGCTTCTCAAATATCTCAAATAAAGCGTTTTGCTATTAAAATTTCAATTACTTTTTATGGATTCTTTGCTGCTTTTTTTCTAAAATTTTCTTTATTGCCTTTTGTCACATCGTCTTTCTTGAATAAAAGCATTAAAAAGTTCTTTGATCTGAATTTTTTGAATAGCGAACTATTATTAGTGGTCGAATAATAATAATTACAAGTTATCAAATCGCATTTTTCTTTCTTTTTTTAATATACTTATTTTCAGTTGTTAAATTGGTTGAAGAGCATGGCAGATCGATGAGCACTAAATTTCTTAAGCCTCGAAAGTCTTTCATTTTTTACCTTGGATTTATTCTCAGAATTGATGATTAAGGTTATCTGGAAGTTCACGTCTAGCAGATTGTTGAGGTTTAGAAAGATAAATGCTTTGATGACGACGATTAGCACTAGAGATGTTGATTGCCTATCCTAAAATTTTGTGGGATTTAAAGACCTGTTTGGCACGGAAAAATTGAGACTGTTGAAATGCCTTTTTTGTGTTTTTTTCTTCCGTTTTTTTCGTGATTTTTATTGGATTTATGGTTGTTAACTTAATTCGTTTCAAATAAAAACTAAGTTCAGCATCATTTTACAGCGGCACCTAAGCAACTGTTTTGCAAATTTTATGACTTTTTAATGCTTACTGTTTCTATTTTGATTTGTTAAGTCTTTTATTTCGAAGATATATGAAGAAGTTTTTGATAATTATTTGCTATCGTGAAGATTGCTACTAAACATTTTCGAAGAAAAAAAAAATTTTTTTTTCAAGTTAGTTATTTGTACTTATATAATTTACGGGGAGGAAGTATAATGTTGTAGGAGTGCTAAAAAGAAACACAAATTTCTTGCACTTTTTAAAATACAGTCTGCTTTCATTTGGTGTTTTCAAACATGGTTTCAGTTTTTATTTCTTATAAGAATAAAATTTATATTTATTGTTGTTGAATTACTATGGTTTTTGAATGAACTGTTTGGAAGAATTTACCCATTTATTTATTCATTCACTTACCTATTTCCCCTGTGTCACTCAAAATTTCCCACTTTAAGAAACTGGGGAAACGACAGTAGCGGACTCGTTAACATCACCTGCAGAAGGCCATCGAGCAGCAGAAAGCACAGATTCTGGCATTGGTTCAGATTCTCAAAACACAGCGAAGGTCTGTCTTTTAACAGCTGTTTTGCTATTAATATAAAGGCCTACTTGCACTTTAATTTGGCAAAAAAATGATTTTTTTTGTTAAAGGAACCGGTAATGTTATAGTTTAATATTTATTGAAGCAAAAAGAAATTTTTTGAATTGCACAAGAAAAATTTAGTGAGTGGAAGAAAATTGATTTGTTTCATCTCAAAGTTATTCGTTGTAAAAATACTTAATTTCTCGGAATATCGACGACAGCAGTTTCGTTCTGATGTTAACATGTAGTTTTTCCTTTGATATCATTGTTGTTTTTTTCTAAAAAAGATATAAAGAATTGTTTTATTTTTTCGGCCTCTCTTTTCCTCAAAAGAAAAAAAAAGTATCAGCGAGTACAAGTGTCATTGAGGAAATCGTCATTAAATTAGACAGCGTCTGACAATGTTTAATGAACTGACTGTCTAATCTCATTAAAGTAAAACAAGTGTAGAAATCAGGCAGAAGATTTGAAGCAGATTTTGTTTCTGACTTTTCTTTTTTGAAGGGATTAAAATATAGATGGGTTTAACGAAGCATAAGTGATTAGAATGGATGTTTTAGCGATGAATTTAGAATTTTTTTTTTTTTTTTTGCCCTTTTCCGCTTTCAGATTTTTTTTTTTTTTTTTTTTTTTTGTACTTCCTCGTCATTTGTTGCGGAAATTAGGGGAGATAGAAAGAAAGAAGACGAAGAACCGTTAAAAGCAAGAAAAATTTTAGATTTCACTGCTTCAATTAGACACCTGAAATTTTGCATGCCATATTGATTTCGTTAATAAATATCAGTTGTTTTCCTTTTTTCTGCGTATTTGCACTCTTAAAAAAAGAACAAATTCTTACTTTTTGTCTAACAGTTGGATTTATCAGTTCGTTTATCATAACGTTTTGGCGCATATGTCTGTATACATATTGAAGCAACTTAAAAAAGCCTACTTTTGAGGAGTATTTTTTGTTTTAACTGAAGTAACCTGCAATTTTAACTGAAGTAACCTGCATCTGCAATTTTACCATCTCTTTTCGCGGTTGAATAACGATATACTACTGTTCAATTGTTTTTTGCTTATTACTGCTATGATTTTGCAAAAAAATTTTTATTACGATTTTTTGATAGGGCCAACTCTTAGAAATGCTTTGTAGAAGGACTAATTTGGAGGACAATCTTTGTTTTTTCTCATTAATATCGTACAATTTAGTTTTTGTGCCATAACTAAAAGTATTTTTTCATTTTTTGAATGCCACGGGAACTGTTTTTGCTATTTCATTGCTCGTTCGGTTGTGCACACGTCAGAATTACCGATACTCATCAGTAATGACTTTCTTTGTTCAATTTTTTGTGCATTTTAACGTTATATTGAATTCTTTTCATCAGATATTATTTCTTACTTTTAGCTTCTGTTTCTTCTCTTTGTTTTCTCTTCTTTTCTATCTCACTGGAAAACTAAAGCAAAAAAGCGTTTAGAAGAAAAAGAGTCAAAAGGAATTTATTAGCAGCACCAATAAATGGCTGTTCCTGCGCATTTTCTGGTGTTCGTTTTCTTTCAAAATCAGAATTTTCTGATTATTTTATGATAGTAACTGATGACTTTTAGAAGTTTTGAGGTTTCTCCTTTTTTTCCCTCTAGATTCAGAGAACGCTTTCATCTTTTGAACGTCAGTGTTTCCAAATATATCAAAAAATTAAATATTTGTCAACGATTTTTGCTTTTTTTTTCTAGAAATTATTTTTCATATATGTATTTTATATAACACTCTTGAGTATCCTGCAAAAAAAACCTAATTTTGTAACGGTATTAGTCTCAAATGTGATGCCAATTCTAGGAGAAAAAAATGTCTTCTGGGGTACAGTTGAAATCTCGAACTGTGGCAGCTGGGTCGACTAATACTCGTGAAATCAATGACAGCAAGTAAAAATAATGCTTATAAATTTTACTGTTCAAAGGTTGTAGCTTAGTGTTTGACAGTAACGGAAATTTGGTTTTTAGGAAAAACGAGCAAATAGTAACCCGAGCACACTCGGCTTTACCAGCTAACGTACGACCAGTGGCAACAGCTCGTTCATCGAGTCCTGTGGATGTCAGCGCTGCATCCGGCATTGAGCCGGATTTGGTTGCTAAGGACAGGTGTCATTTTTTTACAACTACCTGAAGCGAGATAGCGGTTTATGATGTTAAAGTGTGTAACATTTTAGGTATGACCCAGCAAGTAAATGCTTTTCTTATGTGCCGGCGAGAGCTTTGAACGAACATTTCACTACACCGCGTAAGCCCGTGCAGTGGATACGGGTTGAAGAACCTCGAGAAAAAGTTCTTGACGTAGCCCCATCACCATCTGAAATTGCGTCAGTTCCAGTTGTGTCGACAGAACTGGTACGACGGGCAGATACACCAAAATGGGACGATGAAATAGATAAGGTGTTAATCCAATATCAATTATAGTTCTTAGAAATAAATGTAAGGAGCTGTTTTGTGGACTTTAAGTTTTTTTTGTATTTCCTCGCTACATTCGTCGTCATTCAGTTCATTGTTTTAGAAAAGATAATTATGTTTGGTCTTTGTTATTAAAAATGTAGTTAATTATCCCATTTTTATTTATGCCATTACAACACCTGATTGATTTTTGCTTTCTACTACAAGGTGGTAATAACAGATTAGAATTGTCAGCGTGAATTCCGCAGTGGATTATTGTTCTTCTTAAATTTCTGTTTTAACGGTCTAGAGATTCTATCCTAGGTTGCTGAGGAATACAGACGACGATATAGTACACCTGAATCGCGCCGAAGCGAAACTTCTTTCTTGAATGAAGACGAAAAGTTTAAGGATCAAGCGGAGGTCGATACTTTGGTAGATGTAATCCCTGACTTTGAACAAGAGCAAATTGTTTGTTCTGCTCATTTTTTCTTGTAATATCGCATATGTGTTTCAATTTCCAATTTTCTCCTGGTTGTTTAATGTGGGTTTTGGGCTCTTTGGAATTCAACTACTATTTTGTGCTGCTCTAAAGACAGTAGATATCAGTTTGGTTTATAAAAGAGTTCAAGAAAAAAGAAGAACACATAGAAAATAATTTTTATTCTGGCTTTTCTTTGAAAACATTTTTTGCTTTTTCATTTCTCCCATTTTCTGGTTCTTTCGAGCGTGCAGTAGACCAGTATTTCTTATATAATAACTTGACAAAAAAAAATCTGTTGTGAAAAGCGACAATTTTCTGAAGGGTTCTTAAGCCTTTTTTCTCCTTAAAAAGTCTCGCACCTTAAAAAAGTTGCAAAAGATGTGTTTGACGACACTTTTTTGCCGTTTCTTCTTTGAAAGTTTCCTTTTTCAAGTTTTTTTGCAACAAAAAAATTGGAAATGATTAAAATTGGCAATACTATTTGGAAATTTGAATTGCACAGGAAAGTACCGAGAATAATAATTAAAATTTAGGTTTGCGAGCAGTCAAAACGAGCGACCAAGAGAAGAAAAACAAAAGGCGATTCTTACAGGACGCTTAATGGCGACACTTGCAAGTATGGTCGAACGTTTCTGTTATTCCATTTCAGTCTTTTAGACTTTATTGCTCGTCACGTGTTCAGTCTGAGTTATAACTGAAAAGGCTGAAGGTTTTTCTTACTCCTCAAAAAACTCTTCATTTAACTTGTTGTGTGCACTATTTCTTTGGACCGCTTCACTGTCATCACACAGCCGACTACTTTATACTGCGCAAGACAGCTGAGCAAGAATGACTAATAGTTTATTGAAGTATTTTTCTATGGTGCTACTAAGGAGACCGCTCAGATAAATAACGCGTAAGGTAAACTAAAGTAAATGAGGAAAAAAGGAGTGGGAGCAAAGGAGCTTACTATAGGATCTTTCTGCTTGACTCTAAAAACGAACAACACATCCATTATATAAGTATTTGTAGCAGTGATATGGACGATCTGTGTGATCCTGACTTTTATCTCAATTGCGATATGCCGCAGATTGCAGCACAACTTCCAAAGGAAAATGTTTTATTGAACGGATCGGCTACACCAAGTAATGCGCGTAAAACTTTAGCACTACTTAAATCTAATGGATATCGAAGCAATGACATACCGAGAAAATCTTATACTCCAGTGCCTGAAAAGTTTGTTTGTCTGTTTCTTAGTTGACTTCTGGACTGCAAAAAATTATTAAAACAGGATTTTTGTTTCAGAAAATTCACTACTCCATGTCGAAAGTAAAAAATTTTGTTTGTCGTTCACCAAAAAATAACGTTTTAATCAAACATCTAGTGAAAGCGTTAATAGACTTTTAAGAAATATTTGTTTTTCTTTCCCTGAATTATTCGAGCTATTGTCGTTTCAACCAAGCTTAACAGTATACATGAATACATGCTACCTAATCCACCATGCTGAGCAAACAGTTTCAACTACAACTAAAAAAATGACACTTAATTTTGTTCAGTTTTGGAAAAGATAGTGTTTATGATGGTACATCTTCCCCGAAACCTGCTACTTCGCTAGGTGAGTTGAATTATAACGATCGGGACATCTACAGGCACAGAAATTGCCGATCGGCTACATCTGTGCCAGTTTCAAGGTACTATTTTAACGGTTTTACCGGCACAACGGTATAATATTTGGAGGTTGCAAAGACGAGGAAAAAAGTTTTGTGAAGGAAAATAAACAGTGGTATCGATTAGGCTGGGTTGCTGAAATTGCTGGGGAATTTTCTTTGTTCTCTAAGAAATTAACATTTGGACTCGTGACTTTTATTTCGTAATGTTCATTTTTTTTCGAAGTTTTGATCAGTCGCTGCTGTTGTCTAAATTCATAACAACTACCGGAGTTACTGCTGCCGCTGTAAGAACAAGAATTCGGAGGACTGTGCAGCTTTTAAAAGAAGGTTGCTCTACTTTTTCTTTTTGTATGCAACCATCAATTTTTCTTTAAAAATTTTTCTCACATTTAAATAACAACATTTTTCGTTATTTTTTTTAGTAAAATTTTTTGTAATTATGTTCAGAAGCAATGATGTATTTAATTTGTCTTTGAAATCTCGTTTAATTGACTATAAAATGCATTTTTTTTCGCTGCTTTAGTTAATTGCTATTGAGTCCAAAACTAGTTGTATCAAAAACACATTTGTAGAACTAGTAGTCATTCTGTTTCAAAACAAAAAAATTTCACTCTCTTTCTGCTCTTCTAACGTTATCAACTGCATATTTGTGTTCGATTTGTTTGAAATTTGGATGTGTTAAAAAATTTTTCCTACTCCACTAAAATTTCACAGCAGATTTTGGTGTCATTTGATCTTCGCTGTCTTTTCCACCCTCCCGCATTTTGAATTACATCACAAGCGCCTTAAAACCATCAGTTTTTTTCCACTCTGACAATCGCTTTTTAAACAGCGGCATTTTTTTGCTGATTTTTCAATACTGCAGTGAGTTTTTAATCTTTCTTGCAACAATAAATTTGTTTTCATTAAAATTTTTGTTTTTTATTTCTGTAATTGTTTATTTTGCGCAGTCCTCTTTTCTGCTTATCGTGGTAACAACTTTGGTGTTTTTTCCTCTTCTTTGTAACATTAAAATTTCTTGAGCGAAAAAGAGTGTGTTAAGTGGTAACTGAAGGGACTATATCACCTATATTTTTCGTTGATGATATCTATTGATGGTACATAATGAAACTGAAATAAATTTGTATTTAAGTAGTCTTTTGAAATTAAAAAAAATCAAACGCTTCTAGAGAAAGCATTTGCAAAAAGCGCATATTCAATTGTTCACTGGTTTTCCAGCGATCGCAGCAGTCGTATTTTTGATAAAAAACGTTATGACTCAGTAACCGACGCTGAAAACGCTGATGACTGGCTAAGGATGCAACTGAACAAACTGAAAGATCGTAGGGAAAAGAATCCAGATGCTTTGCGAAGAAAACGACAGGAGAAACTTCTATTAGAAGTTGGTTTAATTTGATCCGTTTTTGTACTGTAGGTGCGTACAGTGCTTCAGAAGCGGATGTTTTTGGTTGTGCGCCTTCCTGACTAGCACTCTAAAAATGAACTTTTTGAGTGAACGTGACATTTCTTCTTTCTTGAGTAAGAACAGTTGGGCAAAGACATTTCTCTTATTTTAAAGACAGAAAGTTGGGAACTGGCATGTAATCTTTTGGCTTACTAAGAACGAATTACAGTAACAGTTAGACAGAACTGTACATTCATTTGCTGTCTTCACGCGTTTGCTCGCAACAGTTTGATAAAAGTTATTAATTTGTATGGTAATAATTTTGTTAACTGAAAACAAACTGGGGAAAGAAGTGTTATGGCCGAAACATTACCTTTAACTATGTGTGTTCGTTCCTATTACTGAATAATGAAGATCCTTCATGGACGACTGCTATTCCGTCAAGATTTAGTTGAATTAGTGGTCTACCCGAAATTTCATACCAGACAAAGTTTTGATTAATTTTATCATTTACCACCTATTTGAACTGTTGGAAAATTTTAAAAAAATTTTTTTGAATTGTTTTCTGATGAATCTGAAAAGTAGGAAAAGTGTTGATTGCCAAACTGCTCTCTTTAAACAGACTGCGAAGCTGGATTTCACCACCTCAGATTTTTGAATTTACTTGTTCCATCCAACGACACAGCATATACTCTTTTCCCTATCTTCAGAATAGAAACTTTCACTTTCTTGTTTATGGTTGTTGGGTAGTTTTCCCTCTGAGACTGTGCGGCACCATTCTTTCAGCTCTAAGTTCTGCAGCATTTAAAGCGTTTGTCGTT